ATTCTGACCACTGGCCTTCGTAATGATACCTAATTAGGAAATTGGAATACATACTGATTTAAGCATTTGGATTTACGACTGTGAAACCTAAAAATGACCAACAAAAGCTTACCGAACGCGTTATACAAAAATACATTTGAGAAATATGTTAAAAACGTGACAACTCATTCTCTTTATTGAAACGTTTGAATAAAGCTTACCATAACAGTTTACCCACATCATGGAGTGAAAGTTATAGAAAATAAACGTTGGATTTATAGGTTCACGTTCTTTACGATCACTAAACAAAAGTTTTATTTCAGTTATTTGGTACAACACTTTTAAATGTTTGAAGCTACAAATAGAACTTAAAACAGCAACTTGATTTATTGGCTTGAAGAGTTTTATTGTTTGGAACAAACCGCTATGTGATTCATAAAATCCAGTAAGAAAAGTTGTACATAAATCTACTATATAAAAATAAGTCGGGTTTTCCTCCCTGACGCTATAACTCCAGAACGCACGAACCGGTTTCCACGGTTTTGCATTCGTTGGAAAGGTCTCGGGCTCCGTGAGGTTTATAGCAAAGAAAATTCGGGAAAAGGGGGTAAAACGGGATCCACGCGTACGAAGTCGCGGGCGGCCGCTAGTTAAAGTATGGATTTCAATGCAACGTTGAAATTATGTAGAAAAAATTATACAATATTATTTATTTCATCACTTAGGTCTGTAACAACAGAAGTCACAAATTGGAGATAAATTTCATGAGCTGGCAATGTTCAATCTGATCGAGAACTAAGTACCTTCCGAAACCCAATACCGTCTTCCTTTTCTGTCGGTTGAACTGTTCTTGATTACATTCAAACTTTTAAACTTTACCAAACCGGGAACATTTACTTACACAAAGTGATTTGAATCAGAAACTCCGAATTAAGAGTGTTACTTTCTAAGTATAATTCAATTTCATCGTGAAAGTTGACGTAGGTCATGCTTTTTGTACAATGAGAAGATGCTTTGTGAGTGCAACATAGGTATCAGCACAAGACTTTTAGAACTACAACTCGAAAGTTTCTTTGAACAATGAATACAAACACTTTTTGGACTGTTTCCTTGGCTTCTGCCAACATTGTTTTGAAAGTGCGGAAAGTTTTCTTCTCTTTTGAACAACGACACAACTCTAACAAATCCTCATTTCGACTGATTCTTTCATCTTTTGCTCCTTTGACTTCTATTTGATCTTTTGGTGTTGACTGACCTACGTCGCGTGCTAACTCTACGTGCCATAAATCAAAATTGCTATACAATTGCTCTACACTCCATTTTGGGAATTAAGGCCGGTCCACACTGGACGTTGGCAGTTATTATAACGGCATCAACCAATTGCGTTGTGTAATAGAATGTTGCTTTGCGTCATAGACAATCGTCTTTACTTTGTTTTTGGTATTTGTGCACTTACCGTTTTGGGTTTAATGAGGTTACGTGTTTGTGACCAATGTTTGTGTTGTCATAATGTGACCAGTTGTTTCGAAAAAAATATTGTCGTCTCTCTCACTCTTGTAAGCATCTCAGGGTGAGTAAATGAGACAAATGGAGACAAACAGTATTGAGTCTTGTATTTGCGAAATGGGCCTTCGAAGTTCTGACGAAATAAAAATATGATAAATCGCATGGCCAATATTGGTGCAATATAATAATATGAGCAAGTGTATAATCTATGGATTTGCATAGGTACATACAATACGACCACTGACATAATTATGTAAACGAGTTGACAGGGAATATGTATGCCTGAAGCTATGGATCAAGTTTATGTGATACATGACGCATACATGAATGGATGACAGCATATTTAGCTAATCACTTTATACTTCTAATAGATACGATTTTGGCACAAAAATTAATAGTCCAAAAATCTATGAAGATTTTCTTGAAAGTAACCGCTAGGGGCGCTGTACAATCTGTCATTTCATGTCTTTTTACGCAATCGCCAGTGAGTACACAAATAATGTAAACTCATGTTAAGCACATTGATATGGCTAAATAGCTAACTTAATCATGTGTTTGTATAAGCTACGAGCAAACTTTCTGAAAATGATACTTTAACGAGACTAGTGCATAAACTAAATAGTTCATATAAATTATTGATAATGCCCATTACCAGGCTTTCAGCGTTTCCTAATGACATTCATTTATCATAGTTAATGCACGCAAAGCTCTTCCCGTCGGTTAAATCAACTAACTTATGCAACCCGATGTTTGCCGCATTGTGCTAACTCAAGCCGAGTTATCGTGTTTACTATTGGAACGTTTACCTCACTATCCTGCCATAATAAAGCAAATGAAACTCAACTTTATAGGAAAGAACACAGAGTGCACGCCATTTACAGGGTGTTTAAACCATTGGCATCCTTTTAATATACGAGTAAGACTCAACAGTACATTCCTATAGTATAGTACCCTGTATTACATTCCCCAAATGTGAGACAAATTCTTTCTCAAATTCCGGGCCTTTTCAAGGCGAGAGTGAATAGGCACTTGCAGGGCAGAAATATACCATCCTAGACTGCATCCCACTTAACATCAGGGGCGATTGTGGTCAAATACCTGCCTTGTTATGTATAAAAAAATACAATGACGTTTTTTGTCTTTATTTTGACTAATTAAGTAGTGTGCTGGTATAAAAAGAGTTTTAAACGATTTTACAGCCAATAGCACTTCAGACTATACATTTTTGTTGCAAAATAACACCTATTACATTGTAATAAGGTGCCACATTGTTAAGCCTGTTGCGATGTCATCTGTACAAGGTTTTAATTATTGCAATTTTAACTTATTGGATTTGTTTCTTTGAGGAATGTAGTACATGTACCATGAGCATTCTTATTTTAAAAGTACGCCAAGGATTTAAACACCCTGTATAAGACGTGTTCGAATTTCATAACATGCAAATTTCAATTATAAGTCAAGGAGATAGAGTGTGAATTTGTTAAATACAGATAACGGGCAAGATACAGATTGAGGTAACGTTACCTATTATGGGAATGCTCTAAATGTCTGGGAATTCAGAAGATTATCGGTTTATGTAATTGTTTGGTTCTGTAGTGACATTAATAGATTAATACAGTGTCCATAATTTAATTGGTTTTAACGCAATCTACTAACGGACATGAGTTGACTTAATTAACAGTTCTAGCACAGAATTTATTCTAATAATATTGTTTCAGTTCCTTGTTATAGACTTTGTTTGTGATGTTTTACGATTAAATTGTCATACCTAATATTTTTAGTCACATAAAAAAGTATAAGTTTATTACCTATACATTTTTTTTTTTACATTTTAAATACATATTATACAAAACACCCAGACCCGTCACATAAATTAAAATTCATCATTTCAATTTCTGCCCGCCCGGAAATCGAACCCGGGACATCTCGGCATAGTAGTCCGTTCTGAATCACTACTCCAAACGGCCGACAAACATGCTTCTTTAGCCAAGAAGAAAGAAGAGCGTAGCATTTGTTAGATTATGAACAATAAAATATATGTATAGTCTATACAGTATAGAGCTTGTGCCAATAGCAATTTCGTAGATAAAATGATAAGAATCTAGTACACTAGAGACAATCTCAGGCTTGTTTGACTTGGCAATTAAAGATTTAATCACGACTGACATCAATAGGAACATAGACCATTCTGTCAATGTGGTGTGGTAGTGGGCCTATTTTCTTTAAAAGATTGCTACAGCTAGGAAGTAAATTGGCTCTGGGCTATAGATATGAATATTTTCATTAATACGTAGCTAAAATGACTCGTATGAACTCTACTGGTTTTAAATTAGAAAGACTGAAAATCCTTTAATTTGGCACACATTAAGAACTAAAAGATAGAAAACTTAACTAAAAATCAATCAATCAATCATGACAGTGCGTCGCACCACGATGTTGGTAAGTGTAAAACAACGAATGAAATGGGAGACCATAAAATTGTTTGACCATTGACGCGTTGTTCTTAAAATAGGTACAGATGCCACATAAAACTGTAATTTTTTCTCGTAAAACCCTACCTATTACAAGTACTTAAGATGCTACACCTTGATATCCATATAACAGACTAATGTCACCTTGTTCTAGAACCACCATGTCAAGGGTCCCATAGCACTGTCCTACTAAACGAATTATCCACACCATTGTTTTGGCGGACCGTTTGACCAAAAAATTTAATTGAGAATAAACCGTCCCTAATTAGAGGTATTGTCTTTGAATGTTCCAAAATGCTATTAGTTAGTACAAAATTGATGGCTAAATTCCCGTAACCCAGTTTTGATAGCAGCCAGTAGGTTCCGGCGATTGTTTTTAACAGAAGCTCCTCTGTACAGCACTGTAAGTTAACCCTGAGGCGTCTTAAAAGGTGATGTTTAGCAACAAAAATAGTCTGAAGTATTAAAGCGATCATGTAATGCAGCGTTTACAAGTGTCTTCTTTTTCAGTTATCTAAAAGATTGCGGAAAACCGTGGCTAAGTAATGGTTTAATTTGACGTTGTTTGTCCTTTTAAAAACATGAAAACGTACGACTATTAGCCGGATTGCAATAATATTAAAAATATGTAGTGTAGGTTGATCGATGCACAAAATTACCGCCAAACCATTTGGCCAGCGTGGAGAGCATATGCCCCAATAATTAAGAGAGGCTTCTGCCTTTGAGACTACATGATGAATAAGTACGATGATGATAATGAAGACTACAAATAATATCCTGATGATCTTCTTGTCGTGTCGACAAAAAACCCACAGTGTCAGCCCAAAACTCCGCGACAAGAGTGGCGTTGTCAGTAGCCTTCATCAAATCTTCCTGCGTGCCCAACAACTGCACGCAGGGCAGACATCATGTGCTTCGTCGACTGGGGAACAAACCACACTTGCTCTCCACGTTTGAGCCATCTAAGAATCCTGAACAGATTGTCCTTACTACGGCCTACCTGCGTCTGAAGCCTATTTAACCTGATGATGTTTATTTGTTTCAGAACATGCCGCCCCCCGCGTGAGGCATGAGCGGCCGCGGTACGGGGGGGCAACGCTGCCAGCTGATCCTGCAGCGTTGCCTCGCGATCCAGCTCACCAAGCCCGGCAACGCGCCCGATGACTTCTGGATGTATGACTCGGGGTATCTGCTCTTCCAGGTCAGTTTATCATATATTTTAGCACAGAACTGTCATTGATATGTTCTATAGCTTGCCCACAAGAGCTGTGCAGATTGGCATTTAGTCCGCAGTGAAATGCAGTTTGCGGAAAGGGCGCTTCGCTCTGTAATTTAGTGTTGCAAAATCTGTTAATCTGTAAGCCCGCGAATGTAGTGTCAAACGAACATTAAATAAAAATTCCAGAAAGACAGCCAGGAGCAGAATAGATTTAGTGGTCAAGCTATGACAATTTAATAAAAGAAATAAAGAAACAGCAATTGTCCAAAAGTGGCAGAATATGTCCTTACAATTACAAATGCATATTTTATTGAGTACGTAATTAATTTAAAGTAGAATACAAATAAAGTTAACAATTTACTTAATATCAAAGGTGGTGATTTCAGACCATAAGTGTATTAGTTAGCTATTGTTTTATGCGACAAATATGCGAATATAAGAATCTCCTCAGCTTATCGTAGGGAGTGTAGACCAAATCCACTATATCTAAAGAGGGTTGTGCTCCTGCATTGAAGATTAAAAGATTTAATGATGACTCTACGACGCCGTTTACGTATTTTCGGGTGTATTATCTAACACTTAATCTTCCTTTATTCGTTACTAATGACTATTAAATATAAATAAAGCTGTGTGACCGGATACTCGGCTAATAGTAAGTATCAAAGTTAATTGATGTATAACAAGAAGGCATGAAATTTAAATGACCAATTAAGCGTATTAATTACTATTTATTTTGTCTTTCCCATTATGAGAAAGAAAATATACTGTGAGTAAATTTTGGTAAACAATTTGGCAATTAAAAAGATGTACATATAAATAAATTTAAACTATCTGATAAATCTTTTGGTGAAGAAAGCTCTTAATGACTCGTTATCTTTTTTTATTTGTTCCATTTTACTTTAATTATTTTATAATCCTTGTCGTAACAATAATGTTTAAGTATCTATTGAATTGTATTATCTTTAGAAATTACTCGTATTAACAAACCTCTTTAATTTTTCATAAAAAACTTTCACCAACGTGGTCGTTTCGGTACGTCCCTAAATTATATAAATTACGGGACTATTTCCACCTTTCGTTCCCACCGCTGGAACTCCTTTGTAGCCAGGATCTACAGCTTGACCACCAATAAAAACCCAACCAGTGAAGGTCAAGTTTAAGTAAATTAAATAAAGTAAAATGCGACTATCGCTTTAGATTTTATTAACTTTACTTCAACAAATAGAGGAGGTTCTCAATTAGGTTGTTTTTTTATTTGAACTCAACTAAGGTTAAGATAATGTGGCACTTATTTTGAAACTTTTCAGTATTTAAAAAATGAAATGTATCTACAAACATCTAACCTAAAGGTACAGGTTAGACATAGATTAATATTGTTTATGCTGGCGCTACGCTTGTTTGTTGTCTATGGGTAAAGCGCCATAACTCTTGCGCTGTTCAAACACTTTGTACAACGTCCAGCTTAAATGTACAAACGAATTTAAGCTCTATGGTAACTGTATCATTTTATACGTCGCCCATCTTAAACGTACAAACGAATTTAAACTCTATGGTAACACCATAAAGATGATGTAAAACTTTTATGGTGGACTGCATTCGGTGCAATCAATGCAATGGGTAACACATGTTGTCTGGCATAACTAGGTGGGATTATTCTTAAAATAGTGGTCAAATGGAAACCATTACTTACCTATTTTTAACCATTCATCACTTTTGTTATTATAGCTATAGCCAAGCCAAATGGGATTAGAAGGATTCCTATAAATTATTGATGGAGAAAAACACCATAACTAAACCTGGCAACTTGGATAGGATAGAGCAGGACTTGGTTATTATAGTTTTTTAAGCCATGTGTAGTAGTTCCTAAGTAGGTATTACGTAGTTCGGCGAAGCGATCACGAAATATTCTATTACGAATGTCACTTTGTCTAGCGGTTAGGCGTAGGCTTAACGTGCTATATTCTGTCAATTAGGTTAATTCAAGCTTACAATTTGCTAAGCTTCAGATGCCTTTAGGCGTTTTACACTAGGGCTGGGTTGCACCAACCATCTTACTGTAACTTTGACAAAGTCAAAAATCTGTCAAACTCTATTAAAAAAAACACCAGTTATCTTTAAAGTTACGGTCAAAGGTAGTTGGTGCAACTCAGCCTTAATAAATACGCACAATTTTTGAGATAAACACGTATGAGATTAAAAGTAATCAAGTGAAAATATGAACATACAATAACTTTAATTACACATAAATTGTGAGATTGAAGTATTACGTTTACTTATCTCTCCATATCATGAATTATTACAACCAAGATAAGCTCCCATACAAACTGCATCGCACTTGTATCAAACACGTAGTAGCACACCAGACCATACACTTCTGTTGGAAAATGGACTCTATTGCAACTGTATAAGAAGCCACAGTGTTAAGTTTGATGTGCAGCACAATCAAAGAGCTTCCGAAGTCTTTTAATTGCCAATAAATTACATGTAATTAAGTTGTACATCAGTCCTATAACAACTTCCGTATCGATTTGACTTCTGAAATTTTATTTATATTACGAAGTTTAATTACAAACCAAATTACTATCTATCATTAGTAAAGGATGTCCATTCATTAAATGGTTTTCCGATACTTTCTTTAGCTAATTAGATATGTTTATGATATTCCTTTCGTTACTTATATAATTAATTATGATTAGCTATTCATTGAGGTATATTTTGTTTTTTCCCGCACCGTGAAGAATGCTCGTAATAGGTACTCGATTATAATAAAACTAGACTTATTGATATTTTATTTAGTGTTACCGATACATCTTCCAGTTTCCTTGGTTATTATCAAACCTCTAATAAAAGCACCTGCAATATCCGCAAAAACTGTAAGATACCATAGAAGTGTAAAGAATACATTTTCATGGAGTATTTTCGAGTGCAAATTACTTATTCAGTTCACTAGCGTAATACGGTGTGGTGCAAGCTGTAAACGTATGAGAAAACTGGAAGGAATTTGAAAAAAGTGAGTGGTTTAATTAATTTTGATTAAAATCTTATAAGGTTAGGTACCTATACATTTTTTTGTGATTTTACTTGAGTATTCTTCTATGTTAAGTCTAAGCTTCTTTGTTAAATTATGTCAAACTTGAAAAACCGCACTCTTTTAATTAAAGACACTTGAATTCAGACAGCCTGATAGTTAGGTAGGTATTTGAAGACCAAAAAGTTGTGCATACCTACATGAAATTGTCTCTAGAAGTAATGAATGGTTAATAATGAGGTATTAAGATAATATCTGCTGAGTTAAGTGTTTTCTAATAAAAATACTTACAAATCCTTCAGAAGTATGGAAGCTTTGACTTAAAACATAGAGAAGAGATCTAATTGAATGCGTCGACGACCGCAATCTGAAACCGACCGGCCATTGCGGCTTGCACTTCACCGATCTTTTAATTGTGGATCTTGTTTCTTGACAATGAGGATCATTTTACATTGTAAGCGATATCATAGGGATGCGCTGAAAGCATGTTTAAGAATTGAGGCAAATAAACTAGCTCCTGATTAAGACTTCGCAAGTGTTTATTTTAATCTGGAGCAAAAAAAGATTCTATTGAACGTTGTTATCAAAAACACGGCTCAATATCAAGTCTCAGTTTAAAATCCAAATCACAATGCACTTATGTCAGCTCCGCCCTCTATAAACTCAATGCTTTTCACTCCTCTTCGCCGAAGTCCTTCCGTCTCCAGACCATAAGGCTTTCGAATTTCCTGCCTGAAGATATAGACAAGCCCTCAATAAGCTGTCATTTAAGAAGATCTGTAATTTTAATAAAGTCCTTTAACCGATTGAGTCCCAGACGGCATTAATTAATGTCATAACAATTGATTATCTATTGTGTCTAGATTCGCGGAGCTTGAAGGATTAAACATATTTTTACCTTTTGGAAATTCCATTAAGTTTAAACAGAGACTAGTAATCTTATAGATGTTTCAGGCCACCTAAAGTTTCGCACCTACTCCGTAAACTCTACCAACGTAATCGTAATTTGACGATTATTAAGCCACATTAGCACTTAAATATCGATCATAATCCATACTAAAACATATTTATATGCCTAAATTAACAAGCCTATTTCTCGATCCTGCTCATTCATTATATCACATGCACGACCGCGGTAGAAAGCGCGCGCGCAGGTCAACCGCGGACCTTTGTAAATCATCTTGCGCCGACGTGTATTTATTATCATTGTTCTTCTTGTGTTTGTTGGAATTCAATTTATGTAATACGTGTGGTGCATGACCCGGGACGGTAGCAAGACTTGGTAGTGCACCTGTACATCTAGCATATTAGACTGCCCATTTTTGTTGCAATATCACCCTTATTACAACTAGATAAGATGTTACAGTGTTAAGCTTGTTGTGCTGTCGTCTGAACGTATACAGCTGAATATTTTTGATAGTTCCTACTTCCTAGTGTAAATGTCATTTTATATGATGTAATGAAGAGTAGATTTAGTCTGTAATCATGCTAGAGGCTTGTTTGTAACACGAGCTTAAAGCTTTACAAAATACGTCATAGATAGGTACTAAGAAAGAGTCGTTTAATTTTTAAACCCCGACGAAAAAACGACGGGGTGTTATTGGTTTACATTTTAAATATAAATTTAGAGTACTCAAAAGTGACTAATAATGTTGTTTTCCAATATAATATCGATAAATAAAGGTCTACAAATAATCGCAACAATAAGGCCGAATAAGCTCCGCAGATTAAAAACTTTTTATCGGCCGATAGTATGGTTGACTGTTCATAAAATTTGTATAAGAAATTGGCCTACCAAATCGGTGTAATGCACTTTCATACTTGCTTCATGTTGATGTTTCACTACAATGTTTTTGTTTTCTCAAAACATAACCTGGTAACCTTTGCCATCTCAGTCCATCTCATCAACTTAAGTTAAGAATCTCAAGATCTTGTGCAAATAAAAAGTGCACTA